ATGTGAACTCAACATATGCAACATGGTGGCCTTTGGCCTATTAGCAGAATGGCATAACTAAGGACTGACCATACGGTATAGGCTGTACATTGTAATAATCAGCTGTGCTATTCAGTAAACCGGGGACCGATCAAAGCACTGATGGCAATGTGCAGCAAGCCATAGCAACCAAAAGTCTCTTTTTAAGAAGCTTTAAAGCAGAACTTAAAGGAGAACTATGGGGTCAGGGCTTTTCCCTATAGTTCTCCTAAGGGTAACGGGAGGACACAAACTAGCGTCAGCCCGTCACCCAAAGCTCAGTATACCACGAGCTGCTTGATTGACAGTTGGCTCTGCCTATCTAGAGGCAGAGCCAGCTGTACCTGCCCCCTCCCCCGTTCGTTCCGCTAGTCAGCGCTGGAGGATCGGAGCAATCCCTGCAGGGAGCCGTGAGTGACAGTCACAGCTCTCTGCAGCGACAGGATCGAGAAGTGAGCACGCGACGGTATGTGTTCGCACACTTCCCAATCTATTGAACCGACCTGTGACAGTTTAATTGTCACACGTCGGCTCCAACTATGAGGCTGAGTGATTTTCACTCGCCTCATAGTTCTCCTTTAAGTCCAGCAGCAAAAAAATGCATCGCGTTAAAACTTTTTTCGGCAAAAGAAACAAGCAAAGACTCTTTTGCCAAAAGAAAACCTCTCCCCCATGCTCCTCACAATTTTCCTATGCGCACCCTGCCTCATTCTCAGCATGTCATCCAACCCACGCTGAAGAGGAGCGTCACGGGACCTGAAAGAATCGAGATCTAGAGCCTGTACTTATCATCATTGGAGGAGGTCCCACTAGGAGGTAGGTATGCCGCAATGTGCAAGTAATGGTGAAAGTGCTGGGCAGACGGAAGGCAGCACTCATTAGATAAAAGGCATTTTGATTGCATGATCAAAAACTCTAGTATGTGTTCCTATTACAATGAATGTTATAACAGGATAGTATATGCTGGGACTTCTTGAAGCTTGTTAACCTACATTCACATGGACTCATTTATCAAGCGACTGAAATGAGAATACTTGTTGCCAGAGGCAGACAGATGGGAAAGGACAAGCTTTCACCCTTCCATACTGTACTTGGAATCTCCAGTGTCTGTAGGCTTTTTCCTTTAGATACACTAGAGGCGGCCCACTGTTCTGAGCCAATGTTCAATTATAGACGACTTTGCCAAGCATTACAGTTTGAATCCATTAATAGGTGGGCTGTACGGCCTGAGGGAACACTGCTGTTTGCTATAAATAAATGGCTGGCAAGCACCCCCAATTCAAGTCACAGACTAAATAAAGATCCCTGAGAGGTATACTGTGTGCTTTGTATTAGTATCTCGTGACTCAAGAAGAGCAGGTCTGTCCAAACGGAGTGCTCCAGAGTATATTTACTGTGTAAATATTCAACATGTCAATGTTTAGTAAGCACTGCCAGTACAACTGGTCTGACCGAGAAGTAGACTATGAAGAGTTTACAAGCATAATGGGGCCTGATTAGCAAATGTATTCTGAATGATTCACCTTCACATGGAACAAGTAACCTGCTTGCTCTAGACAACAGCACTCCATGGTCCTACTTTTCATAGATCAGTCCTACAGAGTACTGTTAATGTTTAGTCATGGATGTGATGTCTGAAAGCTCCAAACATCCCAGGCCTTAAAAAGTCCGTAAGTATTATAATAATACATATTACATGGCCGATGTATGTAGACATCAAATGATTGAGTTCAGATGTTTTCAGGGGGACTGTTAACTCATTAAGACGATTGTCTAGTTCCAACTTTGTGGTAACAATTTGGTGAAGGCCCTTTTCTGCTCCAGTATGACTGTGCTCCTGAGTACAAAGTCATCTTCATAATGACTTGGTTTGATAAGCAGTGTGGAGAAATTAAAGAACCACTACCAGGGATAAAGTGAAACACCACATGCGAGCCAGGTCTGCCTCTTCCAACATCAGTACCAGACCTCACAAATTCTTCTTTGGGTGAATGGGCACAAATTCTGGCAGACACTCCAAAATCTTCAGGAAAGCCATCCATATACACAAACATTTGTGTATATAGAGTAGGGGTGGACATATTAATATGGAATGCAGAACCCATGGACAACAACTAGAGCAAACCTCAAAATTTAGGTAACAGCTGTAACTTTTTAAGGAGCATAGAAAGGGTGGACAAATCAACATGGAATGCAGGACCCAGCTCCATGGACAAGACCTGGAGCAAACCCTTCCAAATTTACATAACTTGTGTAACTTTAAAGAAGCATTGATGATCTGGTTCCTGGGATTTATCAAGCCCTAATATAGTCTACTAAACCTAAAACAAAATCGAAAATGTCAACCTAAAAGTAATACTTCATTTATAGACAGAGTGACCTTGATAATTCTCTAGAGGACTCCACTGGAATGATATCCACGCCATAGTTCTTGGCTTTGATGTTGCCAATATTGGATGGTGTATCCACTATCATGGTTACACTTTCCATAATATGCAAGAAGAAATGAGAATGCCAAAAGAGAAATTCCCTTGTAATGGCAGAACTGTAACATCTAAAGATCTCTCCAGAATATTTTTATGACGGAAACTATGGCAGGTTACAAGAGAAGAAATGATATGGCTTCTTGAAAGAACGTAGGTTTACACAGGTTGCATCCCACAGTGCAATGCCTAGTCTCTTAGCCTTGGACAGTGCTACGTGCGAGGTGGATACATCAGCTTTGAATTTCAACAAGCCTGATTTACAAATGTCTCAGTACATCTTGGTGTAATTTCAGTTTCTTTACAACGTTCACGTCAAAATAGGTCCACTTTGGTATGAGTCTTTATTACCGCTTACACCGGTGCCGGTTTACATGAATCAGAATGCTGATCAACTAAGCCTGTACACTAAAGGAGACCACTAAATTGCATTGTCATCAAGTATCCACCAATATAGAAAAATCTAAATAACCCAAATAAGTTAGACTAGCACCTAGTGACAGACTCTGGGTACTGCCTTTGTTCAAAAAATGGTGGCCATCATGCTGGGCCCATCACTGTCTGAAAGAAGAACAATCAGCAATAATCCCCCCCCCCCCCGAGATATGCAGCTTTCACTAGGGCAGGTTAGATAAATGATTGACTGGCTGCTAAAAGACAAATCTGCCATACTTTGATAAACGACGCCTACCCTGGTAATAATGAAGTGGTGTATCTAGTTTCTGCTATTCTTGGAAGCCAACAAAAGGCTCAACGATAAGGAAGTGAAGGTTGAGCAATTTATCAGAAAAGACAATAAAGGAACATTTTCCTCTTCCTTGTTTTGCAATACATTCAGCATTGTGGGAAACAAACATCTACAGGCCTGCAGGTGCCTAAAGAGAATCAGGAAAATGTTAATCAAGAGTATATACAGCACATAGTGCATCATGGCTCTATTGAGAAAGGTTTCCTTTGGTGCCACTTACCACTGGGCAGAATGTATTCAGCACTGCACTCTAGGGGCCCGCATGAAGCCAAATGTCTTAGGATAGCATTTCATTTGCATAAACACTTCCCCCAACACAGGTATAGAAAGGACAGGGATCGAGCTGCCCTATCAGGGGTAGGCAAACTTCAGCCCTCCAGCTGTGGTGAAGCTACAATTCCCATAAGGCATTGCAAGGCTCTTGATAACCACAGGCATGACTCCAAGAGGGGATTTGTGGCTTTACCACAGCTAGAGGGCCAAAGTTTACCTACCCCTTCCCAAGAGTGTGAGCAACAGGCGTAACAGATGACCAGTTCTCTAAAGAATTAATCATCTACCCCAAGGCCGTTATTTGTGAAATACAGCTATTGCGATTTACATTATTGCTAACTAGCATTTGAGTCATAACCCAGTTCAGGAACCCATTCACTCTAAAAATGCAAAGATACGAATATTAACAAAATAGGGTTTTTATTCAAATGTAAACAAAAAAAAACTTTAGCACCATAACTATGGTTTCATAAGATTAATTGGCACTCAACTGCACACTGGAGTCAAGAAATAGAACCAATTATCTAGAGTTAATATAACCCAAGTTACTTCTGAAAGTTTTGGGGAAAAGGACTAGCAAGACTCTTGGGAAGAATTCTTCCTCCCCCTTTATTAATGAAAAGAAAAAAAAAAAAAACTTAGCACAAAACAAGATACAAGCCTATAGAGCCCTAATTTTAGTGATTTTTGCATTCAAAGATAAAGTGAGAGGGTCGTAAAAGAACATGTCATTCGAAAGAGCCATTTGAAAAGGTTCTCCAGTAAATGCAGCCAGAAATATGGTTCAGAATGATTCCTTCCACATTGACAGACCTGTGTACTAAACAAAAATGCATACACCACATATAAAATATGTCTGTTTTAGGCTAACACAATTTGAGGATTATTCACTATGCATGAGGCTTAATGTGCAGAGAAAATAACAGAATAGACTTCCAAGATGCTTGAGTCCTAATTTTTCTAAATTTATGGGCCAAAGGAGGAGAAAAAAAAAAAAAAGGGAGGGAGGGAAAAACATCCATCCCCACCCGTATGGTAAGCTGTACAATATATTGTTCATTAACAAAATGGTACACATGTACAGAGAATACTATACACATATTTACACTTTATATTTTACTTACGGGAGCAGAGTTGTCGTCACTTATGGTCTCAACTCCCTTGGTGCCAGTGGATGGCTTGCATTTGGGCACCAAAGGAGTTGAAAAGACAACGCGTACCTTTATTTTCAACAAAAGTTCACACTTCGCGAAAATATATTAAATTTATTTGTAGAAAAAAATAAAGATTTAACAATGACAAGATGGCATCTGTCAGGCATATTTTGTTTTTGGTAAAAATAACTCCAGTTTCTCTGTCCAACGGATAGCCCAAACTTGTGATCAGGCTCTGGCAAATTGTGGGCGGCGGACACAGCGATGACCCTCAACTTCTGTGTGCTGTGTCTAAGAAGCCAAGAGCAAAGATCGTAGCGAACGATCATGATCGGTTAAAAACAAACACTTAAGACGCAAGTTCACCGGATCATGTATGCCAGGCTTGCTCCAAGACCTGCTACTCCTGCAAAGGCCATCAAAACAGTCCTCAGTCCACTTTCATAGTCCTCAACATGGAAGAATTCCACACAGCCATCCTGTAGGACAAACATTAAATCTTCTGTTAGTTTCAGAACAGCGCAAATCATTTACAAGGAACTACCCCACATGGCACTCTTGCTAAGCTCTGGTTTCTGGGTTAAAACACCACCATGGATTTTGGTTATTCTTCCCATATCTCAATAGGTTTCATCCAGATCATTCTAAATATTCTTCCAATATCTGAATGAGTTTTCTCCAGCTCCTCATTTTGAATGTTCTCCCCATATCTCAATAGGTTTCCTCCAGGTGCATTGAGTTCCTCTCTCTCAAACCTAAAATATACCAGAACAAGCCCTAGTTTGTTGAGCGAGTGTGGTAAGAACATTCTAGTATGACCTCCTTTAGGAAACAGGAAGTAGCGTGAATGGTTCTACAACTTCATAATGACTACCTGGCTGTCATTTGACATCAGTAGTCACCTAGAGAAGCCAAACTGACACGCCGAATTGTTCCAAATCTGAGACTCAAAGTTTTGAAGCCACTGGGTTTAAGTAGTTGCCATTGGTAGAAGGAGAGCTCAGCAATAAAGCCATCTGCACAGGCCTCCTTTAATACCCACAAGATGTTAGATTCTTCAGATTGGGAGATATTCTGTAGCCTGTGTACCATACACCATAAAATTTTTGGGGACACTCAATACCAGATGTTAGTGGCATGCTAAACACTGCCCTACACATCCAATTGTGCGCATCTGTAAAACCTCCATTCTCCAAACATCCAACCAGACAGGCCTCCAGAAAAGCACAATACTCACCCATCCATTGTGTTGTACAATCCATTCTCTCTTTTGGGTCATGAGATAATCTGTGAAGTTGTCTGCCAGCTGCCGAATGCAGTTCTCCAACTTTATACTCTTCAAATGTTTGGCCACGAAAGCACCAAAGCTTATCAAAGTTACAATCCGACCCCAGTTCGTAACCCCATCGCTGAAGACCATAGAGGGTACTTCTGAGATTTTCTGAATGTCATCTTCAGTTTGTATAGACAACCTCTGCAACATTCCTGAAGAAAAAAGAGGCTATTAAATATCTGAAAACTGAGTGCAAAGCCAGGCACAACACACGATCAAAATTGTTCTAGCTAAGCCTAGTCCGGGTCTATACCACTGCCCACCTCCAAGAAAGGCAATCAGGAATGCCCTCCATGGGGCACAACCACTTCCATCAGGAATGGTGAAGAGCCATTTGTTAAAAGGAAACTGTCAGCACAGAGAGTGCTCCCATAGTTGACCAAGCAAAGCCCTTTGTAACCTTGACACACTTGGAGGGTCATTGACCTGGAACAAGTATGAATGTGGGATGCTTCCCTGACTACATGCTTCTTCCAAGTCAGTCACTGCTTTAGTAAAAGGATGAATATGTCAGTGCCAGACCTTCCACCTTAAAAAAAAAAAAAAGCCTAAATTCCCTTTCTCAAAAGGTTTCCTTTAAAATGAGCACATTATTGAAGCTGCTGTTAGGTTCCCCCATTGCTCTTAAAAGATGAAATGTGATTGGCTCTTCCTCTCCAGTTACCATAAACTAGCCCACAGCGGTTCTCATTCTTCACTATTACAGTAACTTCTGCAATGACTGAAAAGCAGAAGCCGCCCTAGAGGAAGATGGCTTGCTTCTGCACACATCAGCTCAGTTCAAACATTGCAGCTCAGTTCAAACATTGCAACAATGAACATACACCACAAGCAACGCGATTCGAGGCGTTCACAGTCAGCAGATGACAGCGATAGCATTGCTTCCTCTAATACAAATTAAAAATGGCCTTGCTGCTGCACAGGACACGGCAAGATTGATGAATGGACAATATGTGTGGGCATGGACAGAGAAAGACCAATTCACTAACGTACACGACTTGCTACTGCATTTAGTAACCTAACAATTCTCTCAAATTGTTCTATTAATACGTGTGGATTTTATACTTTAATGCCTAAAAAAAAGTCTCCATTTACCAGATATCCATTTTCTATTATGAATAGGTATCTCATCCTAAAGCTGAACTCCAGCCACATAATGCAACTCTGTAATAATACACCATGATGACCAAAATGAGCACTTTAATCCTTGCAGTGCCAGGGTAGCCGAACTTAAAGGGTTAAGAATTGTCCCCAGAGTTGTTCTTTAAGAAATAAACTCTGATTTAAAGTGATCATGGCAGATGAGCCCCAAAGCAATACATCCAAAGTCCAGCCAACACAACAACTTCCAGTCGCTCCTGGCTGTACTTTGGGCTCATCCGCCATGATTAAACAAGTGCATGAAAGACTTTTAATTCATAGATTCCCCACCACACTATGAACCCAGCACCTTCCTAACCTTACCAAAGCTCAAAGTTCCAGAAAACCCTTTTGCTGACAAACAGATGAGGGGTGTTGGGGAGGGGGGTGTTGAGTGTTTTTTTCAGTTCATTGCTCAACGCTTCAAAAACAGGATGTTTAACGCAGCTTAACTCTAAACCCGAGTTTCATTTTCCTCTCTCGGCCTTTGCTAGAGTTCTCTGGAAATAACCAGATTATCAATGGAAACCAGGGGTGGGAGGGAAGCCTGTGCCGGAATAATGCATTATTCAAAGGGGACGGCCATAAATTATAGAAGAATTTAAACAGGATGCAGCTTGCAAACCAACAGGGGTTACTGGAGTTTAAAATTCCCAGAGCCAAGGCAACGTACCACAAAGAGGGGAAAAAAATGAATCAAATAAGGAATAAATGACTACATAAAAAGTAAAACAAAGATGAAGATAAAATATATAAAAAGCAAAGATGGGAAAAGATAAAAATATATATAATAAAAAAGTGCAATAAATGATAAAGACTTCAGAACACACAAAGGCATACAGCAATCACTGGAATTTTCCAGACAACCAGGAACCAAGCCTGTCTTATCGGTCTGCATTCTTGCGACAATAAAAACGCAACGCCTACACAGTCGAAAGTATGACTACAAGTTAGGTCAAAGAGCTGCCAGATAGGCATATTATAAGCAAAGCTGGATCAAAGTTTTTACCCTGTCATAAAACCATCAACTACCACCCAATAGCCAAATGGCAACACCATCACACCACACTGTGGCTGGAGATTTTTTTTTATTAATCAATCTTACAGATGGAAATCCCGATGCAGCTTCAGCTCTAGAAACGACTTCACAAAAATATATACAAAAACACACACAGAAAGCTTTATAGATATTTTTTGCATGACATAAAAAAGGAAGTTGGGCTGTGAACGCTCATCCTGTAGAACTTGCTCTGCGACTTATGTGAGCGATGAACAAACACTGCAGCAGGAAGGGATGAGTATTAGCAGCTTGTGAGGTGGAGTCCCAGCCCTCCATGTCTGTGTGAGCTACACCACGTATACAACACAAAGCTGCATCCAACTATATAGGGGGGACATCGCCAGCAGGGCGAGAGCGAGCGAGCGTGCGCACTGAAACGGCTCAGGCCCACCTCATGCAAATACACACTAAGAAAAGCACAAAGAGCTCCATGCAAATCCGCCAGCAACTCGACCAGAAAAACGTACACGAACAGCCAGAAGCATGGCGACCTTATTATAGCATATATACTAGAGGAACTAGCTTTTGGTTTAAGTTGCCATCTGCGTTCTCCTGCCAACCACATTTTTTTTATGCATGCACACAGCTCTACAAAATGAATCTAAAATGGAAGAAAAAAAATAAATAAAACCACACACAACCCAACCACCCCTCTCAAAATAAATAAAAATGTGTCTGCGTATAAAACGCTCCATCTTTACTCATTTATCCCCATTTTCTAATTTAACAGCCCAAATAAAACATCATAAAACTCTAAAGACAGGAAACAGTATTTTGCTTATTAAAATCCTTGTTCTCTGCCCCCACCCTCCGGAGGGTGCTCAGGGCCTTCTGGTTGCCCCCGGCCTCTTTGATGCCACCGGCCTGTTCCCGGAAGAGGTTATAGAGGATCTTCTGGGTCTCAATGTGCAGGCTGTCCAGCGGGCCTTCGTCGGTGGGGCTAGGAGGGGGTGAGGCGGATCCATGGGAGTCTGACTCTATGTCCATATCCTCGTCCAGCTCGCTCTGGGAATTGGGCAGGGAGCCCTCCTCGTTGTAGCCCAGCGGCCTCCGGTTCTGCCAGTCGTCCTTATCCAGCGTGACTAGCGGGGTGTCCTTGGTGGAGAGCACGCCTCCCCCGCACAGCAGGTTGCAGGGGATCATTCCAGAATTCCTAAACCGGGCCGGGTTCATCATCTTATCACAACCGGTAACGTACGGTCACTGCGCGTCGAGTCCCGTTGTCGCGGCCTGAGTGAGTGCACATCGGCTAAACTGAACACTATATGCTGTGGGTGGGGTGGCTCCGCCCAGCTTCCCTAATATGGAGATCCGAGGCGTTTCCGGTATTCAGATAGATAGCAGCGCAATATGGGGTTGCCGACAAAAGTACTATAAATCCACTTGTGAGGGAAATTATGTCAGTGACATCACGAGAAATACGTCATGAAAACACATTACAACAGTCTAAAACTAAAACAAATAAAGACACATGGGACTATCAAAACTGGAGCAGACAGAATCTTCATGGGAGCCAATCAGCTTCTATCTTTCATTTTCAGCTCTTAATTAATTGAAGAGAGAATCTGGTTGCTATAAGCAACCGCTCCAGATTTTGTCAGCTCCAGTTTTGATAAATTCCCCCCACTGTTGCTAGGAGACCCCCATAAACCATAAATACTGGCGTGGCTGCCTGAGATCCTGCGCTTGCAGGGGACAACAGCAGCCTTCCTGTGAGCGGCACCTGTTTACAGCACCGGCCGCTCATCTCCTTCCTGGGGAACCATGCAGCCCTTCTGCCACCCGCATTTGTCCACGAGACCCCCAAGACCCCTGGTGAGACCCTGCACAGCGCTCCTCAGACCCTCACAGCCCACCTAGGACCTCGCCCAGCCCTCCTGAGACCCCGCACAGCCCTCCTGAGACCCCTACTATCAAAACTGGAGCAGACAGAATCTTCATGGGAGCCAATCAGCTTCTATCTTTCATTTTCAGCTCTTAATTAATTGAAGAGAGAATCTGGTTGCTATAAGCAACCGCTCCAGATTTTGTCAGCTCCAGTTTTGATAAATTCCCCCCACTGTTGCTAGGAGACCCCCATAAACCATAAATACTGGCGTGGCTGCCTGAGATCCTGCGCTTGCAGGGGACAACAGCAGCCTTCCTGTGAGCGGCACCTGTTTACAGCACCGGCCGCTCATCTCCTTCCTGGGGAACCATGCAGCCCTTCTGCCACCCGCATTTGTCCACGAGACCCCCAAGACCCCTGGTGAGACCCTGCACAGCGCTCCTCAGACCCTCACAGCCCACCTAGGACCTCGCCCAGCCCTCCTGAGACCCCGCACAGCCCTCCTGAGACCCCGCACAGCCCACCTAAGACCCCGCACAGCCCTCCTGAGACCCTATACAGCCTAGCTAAAACCCCACACAGCTCACCGGAGACCCTGCACAGCCCTCTTGAGACCCTCCACTAGCCCACCTGAGAGCCCGCACAACCCATCTGAGACCCTCCGCACCCCTCCTGAGACCTTTCACACCCCTCTTGAGACCCTCGGCCCAAGACATCAGAGGCTGGGGGGAGGGGGGCACTATAATTTTTGTTGCCTAGGGCCCACCAGAGCCTTGAATCAGCCCTGCATATGTGTGTCCTTCCGCACACAGGTCCATGTGAAATCTGTGTTCTGGTATGATGCCAGGTCAGATTGCATGTCATACATTTTAGGCCTGAGTGAGGGCACATCAACCAAACTAAACACTATATGCTGTGGGTGGGGTGGCTCCGCCCAGCTTCCCTAATATGGAGATCCGAGGCGTTTCCGGTATTCAGACAGATAGCATAGTACGGATTTCCTGATTAAAGCTCTGTAACGTTCACCTTCGTGAGGGAAATTATGTCAGTGACATCACGAGAAATACATCATGAAAAAACATGACAACAGTCTAAAACCAAAACAAATAAAGACACAGGGGACTTTATCAAAACCAATCAGCTTCTATCTTTCATTTGCAGCTCTTAACTAAATAGAGAATCTGGTTGCTATGGGCAAGCGCTCCAGATTTTGTCAGCTCCAGTTTTGATAAATTCCCCCCACTGCTGCTAGGAGACCCCCATAAACCATAAATATAGCCCATATACCAGACATCCCAACCTGCAAAACCTTATTTCAGGGAGGTGCCCTTCTCATTTCAGGGAGGTGCCCTTCTCATTTCAGGGCGGTACCTTCTCTGTTTTTTTTTTATTTTGACGGCGGCCGGCGGCCACCATCAGAATAAAAAAAAAACTTCATTGTGTAAAGGCGGCTGTGCTCTTTGTGTGAGATGAATTGCAGCGCAGGGAGTTCCCCTCCACAGCTCAGCCAACATGAGGAAGTGTGCCACTCACCCTCCCTGCCCCCTCCACAGGCGTCTTCAATCGGCTGCCCCCAGCACTGTGTGTCTGCAGACCTAGCTCAGGGACCTTTGTCTCCAGCCAATCACAGGCGGCCCTGCCATGCCTAAACCCCTCCCACTGACCAGTCACCGTTACAGGATGTGCAGGCACAAACATTTTTTCCCCTTCCAACTAAAAACTTTATTCATACTCATCAGAACTGGTGAACGCAGCAGACTCGGAAAGGTTTCAATCATTTCCGGGATAAAATATATCTCTTGCAGGCGTCCGGGAGCCGCTATCTAATATCGGGAGACTCCCGGAACGTCCGGGAGAGTTGGGAACTCTGATATACAAACATGTCCCAGCAACTCTTTACACGTATGTGTAGGGCCGCTTTACTCAATGGGCAAAGTGGGCATTTTCCCTGGGCCTGCTGTCACATCTAGGGCCAACTAGGCATGCACCAAAACCGGTATCGGTGCCAATGCTCGGCATTTTCAGGAGTACTTGTACATGTGAAAATGCCCAAATACTGGCATGGCTGCCTGAGATCCTGCGCTTGCTGGGGACCACAACAGCCTTCCTGTGAGCGGGGCCTGTTTACAGCACGAGACCCTTGAGGGTCCACGAGACCCTCAAGACCCCTGGTGAGACCCTGCACAGCCCTCCTGAGACCCTGCACAGCCCACCTGAGACCCCGCACCACCCATCTGAGACTCCGCACAGCTCTCCTGAGACCCCACACAGCCCTCCTCTGACCCTCCACAGCCCACCTAGGACCCCGCCCAGCCCAACTGAGACCCCTCACAGCCCACCTGTGACCACGCATAGCTCTAATGAGACCCCGCACAGTCTACCTAAGACCCCCGCACAGCCCACCTAAGACCCCGCACAGCCCTCCTGAGACACCACACAGCCCACCTGAGACCCCACACAGCCCACCTGAGACCCCACACAGCCCACCTGAGACCCCATACAGCTCTCCTGAGACCCCACACACCCCACCTAAGACCCCCACACAGCCCACCTGAGACCCTGCACAGTCCTCCTGAGGCCCCACACAGCCCACCTGAGACCCCACTTGAGACCCCGTACAACTCTCCTGAGACCCCACACAGCCCACCTAAGACCCCCACACAGCCCACCTGAGACCCTGCACAGTCCTCCTGAGGCCCCACACAGCCCACCTGAGACCCCACTTGAGACCCCGTACAACTCTCCTGAGACCCCACACAGCCCACCTAAGACCCCCACACAGCCCACCTGAGATACTGCACAGTTCTCCTGAGACCCTCCACAGCCCACCTGAGACCGCACACAGCTCTCCTGAGACCACGCACAGCTCTAATGAGACCCCACACAGCTCACCTGAGACCCTGCACAGCCCTCTTGAGACCCTCCACAGCCCACCTGAGACCCCGCACAACCCATCTGAGGCCCTCCGCACCCCTCCTGAGACCTTTCACACCCCTCTTGAGACCCTCGGCCCAAGACATCAGAGGCTGGGGGGAGGGGGGCACTATAATTTTTGTTGCCTAGGGCCCACCAGAGCCTTGAATCAGCCCTGCATATGTGTGTCCTTCCGCACACAGGTCCATGTGAAATCTGTGTTCTGGTATGATGCCAGGTCAGATTGCATGTCATACATTTTAGGCCTCATTCACATGGCCTTCGATCTGATGCACGGTCCCCGCTCCCTGCTTGGTTAGCTTTAGTAGAGAGTATGGACAAGCACCGGGGACAACCTCGGCACTCCAGCTGTGTTGAAATTACAAATCCCATCATGCTGCTGCCTGCGGCTGTCAGAGTCTTGCAATGCCTCCTGGGTCTTGTAGTTCCACAACAGCTGGAGTGCGGAGATTGCCTACCCCTGTCCTGATACTGTCGGGCGTTCGGTCCATGACCAAGCGCCCGACTTTTCAGAGGGGGGTGACACCAAAATGACTGTAAATCATTTTGGCGTCACCCCTCCAATGGTGTCACCCGGGTGCGGGCCGCACCCCCCGCGTGACGCCACTGCTTTTACTAAGCGCCTTGCGTTGCCATTTATTTGAATGCTATCCCAATGCACCTCTTGGCTGCCGTGTGTTGCAGTGTAGTGCATGCACTACATTTTTTAGGGGGGGTTTTGCAGTACCACGCATTGCATGGCGGGCCAGGAGGTGCATTGGGGTAGCATTAAAATGAATGGCAACACCATGGGCCTAGCGCATGGTAACACACACTAGGTGCACTGTGCAATGGCGCGCGATAATCACATGGTGTTGCATGACGAACGCAATGCTATGGCGTCCCGAATGGGCCCCGAAACTTGACAAATCACTAAAGCCTTTGTAAAAGAAAAGAAACACTTACACGTGACGTATCCTTACATTGTCACAATGCTGGACATTTGTATATTTATGATTTAGTACATATTTGTAGATTTAGATTGATTTCATTTCTATATTTATTATATTTAAGAAATATGCAAATGTGAAGAATAATAAAATACAGATATTACACCCTGTGGGCCTGGCCGGCTTTGGAATAGATCCCCCACCTCCAATATACACACGGCGGAACTTTCACTAATATTCTTGCGGCCGCCGTGCTGATGGAATTTCCACAAAAAAAAAACATTTTGCAAAAGTAAAACACCTACAAGTGTCACTTTTCTAGCGAGCTGCGAGTTCTCACTCTCGTATAACCCACATGTACATTCCCGGCAAGAAACTGAGTAGGTGGGGGAAATCATTCATCTGACCCGAAATTTCTTCTTCATGGGTCAGTTGTACAGTAAAGGAGGAAGTCATGTTGTTAACTCTTTATTAGTGATTTAAAGGGAAACTATAATGGTTTGTTTTATATACAGTATCTCACAGAAGTAAGT